AGGCCCGAGGCCAGGCGGACCTGCCGCCCCGGCCAGGGACCTGCGGAGGCTGGCCAGCCCGCGGTCCGAGGCCAAGCCAGGCACAAACAAGAATGCACCACAGCACGGCTTAAGAATATAGATTTATTTGTTCTGAGCGAAGGAAGTTCGGAGCCGAGGGGGCAGGGCGGCTCCGGCGGTCCGGTGCGCGGCAGGCCCTGCCCGGGAGCGGCCCCTCCACCGCGCCGGCCCTCGGGGAAGCGGCTCCCCTCGGGGAAGCGGCTCGGAGGCAGAGCGCCTGCCTAGCCTGCCTGAAGCCCTGGGTTCCTTCCATTCCTCAGCACCACAGACACAGCAAAAGCCGGAAGTGGCGCTGCGGCTCAATGGTAGAGCGCTGGCCTTGAGCAAAAGCAGCTCAGGGGCAGCGCCCGGGCCCTGAGTTCAAGCCGCAGGGCTGGCAAAAAAAAAAAAAAAAAAGGGGGAAAAAGTCTCATAAAGAGCTAGCTGCAATGTTCTGAGTGTCTCAAAGCTCAGCCACAGCACCTGTGTCCATCCCGAGTGAAGGTCCCTGAGAACCTGAGACCCCATGATGCCAAAGCCAACCTCACAACCTAAAGGGAGAAACTTTGTTTTTAAAGACGAGCTGCACAACGCGATGGGAGCTACGTGTTTGTTTTCCAGAATGGGTCAGGCTCTAGATCTGGACGCTTAGTTCACCACCGTGAGTTCCTTAGGCTGTAGAATCTTTGCCTTTCTAACCCACTGAAAATACTGCCATCGAATACCCTTCAAAGTGTTAGCATCCTAGTGACTGCGGAGTCTGAGGCAGGTGGATGCAAGTTCAAGGCCAGCTTGAACAATACAGTGAGACTGGATCTCAAAAAAAAAGGGGGGGGCCGGGCGCTGGTGGCTCACGCCTGTAATCCTAGCTACTCAGGAGGCTGAGATCTGAGGATCGAGGTTCAAAGCCAGCCCGGGCAGGAGAGACCGTGAGACTCCTAACTCCAGTAAACCACCAGAAAACCCGAAGTGGCGCTGTAGCTCAAGTGGTAGAGCGCTCACCTTGAGCTGAAGAGCTGAGGGACAGCGCCCAGGCCCAGAGTTCAAGCCCCACGACTAACAAAAAAAAAAGGGGGGGATACAGGGATGCAGACAGAGCACTGGGAAGTGGGCGCGAGCCTGCTGCCCTCCTGCCCAGAGGGGAGGCCCAGGCTCACACAGAGCACATTTAGCTCAGGGAAGTAGACGTGGAGGCCATTCAGACAACCTGTCCTTCTCCCTCTGGACAACGGCTATGAGACGATGGCATGTACAACAACAGAACCAAAACTAGACAAGCTGGAGCTGCCACCCGGGCGACGCCATAGGATCCACCACTTCAGAAATGGAATTTTTTACATCTTTCTTTTTAAAACACCATTATTGACTATATTCCCAGAGTTGCTTTCACACAGTAGGACCAGAATTCACTTATGTCACTGCATTCTACACATTCACCACTCTGCACCCTAAGAGACATCCACTAGAACCACAGCAGCCCATGACATATGCCAAAAGAGCAACTAAACCCAAGCTCGCAGACAGTCCGCAGCTGCCCCCTGCCGCCAGGTGGAGCAGCCTCAAGGATCCTGAGCATGCAGGGACACCAGTGACAGCTGTGGGGGCTTGAGTCCAGGTGGGGTTTGGAGCTGAGTCTCATCACTCAGCTTTCATGGTCGCCCAGCAGAAAGCCCAGCACCACATCTTCCTGGGGAAGGAAACTTTGGGGCAGACCCTTGCCAGAGTTCCTTCATCATCATCATATTAAATCTGAAGGGCAAAAGGAAGGATGAGCAGCCCTAGGCGACTTGTATCCCCCAGCAGCACAGACTCGTCTAGAAGCAGAGAGGCTTCACTTTACAGTCACAGCTGTAACGATGTTCAATTCACCCTTATACATACGCCTTGAAACAACCTGCAAAGATCAATCTCTGGTACAGCACCCCTCAACCCTGGCTTGGCATGAAGGTGCTCCGCCGGAAAGGTGGGGAGCACAGAAATGTGTACTCAGAACACTGATGGTACCAACACGTGGGATTTCTTTTGGGAAATAATTATCTATGACCACTTGAAGTAAAACTGGAAAGTTGGACATAGTTTACAAAGCTATGGAACAGACCAGACTGTTCAAAAGGACCAACTCAGATTCATGAAAGTGAATCAATGAATTTAAATTCAAGATGATAAATGAATGGCACAATGAGAATTACTTTTCAACTGATCTGAATAGTGCTTAAAGGTTTCAATAAGTAACTACCGTCTTCAGACCTTTTATTGAAAATTAGTCTGAAAGTAAAAAACTTAAACTGTCCTCAAGGACAAGTGAAATATTTTCAGGATAAAATACCTTAAGTTATACTTTACTATAAAAATATACAAGTACTACTTTTTACCTTTCTTTTACTCAGTATAAATGGTTCTGGCTCCACGACATCATCAGGCTGGTCACTAAGCTCGAACTGTTCCCTTCTGATAGCTTCTGCAGTCACACTGGGTCTTAAGGCTCAGGACAGTTTATCTTTCCAAACTGACAATGATCATAATTGGTTTTAAATGAGAATAACAGGATAAGAGTCTTTTAAAAAATATATACATAAGTGGGAAAACTATTCGTTGTGTTATTACATCCCATTTTCCCCACTTATTAAAACAAGAAAAAAACTGTACAAATAATCCTCTATTCGAAATCTTGACAGCATACAATTAAAAAAAAAGTCTGGGATATTCTTTTTTTGAAGTGCTGGGGATTGAACCCAGGGCTTTGTACATGCTAAGCAAGCACTCTACCACTGAGCTACACACTCTTTAGTTGTTTTGTTTTGTTTTTTTGGTCAGTCGTGGGGCTGAACTCTGGGCCTGGGTGCTGTCCCTCAGCTCTTCAGCTCAAGGCTAGTGTTCTACCACTTGAGCCACAGCACTACTTCCAGCTTTTTCTGCATATGTAGTGCTGAGAAATAGAACCCAGGGCCTCATGCATGCAAGGCAAGCACTCTACCACCTTCCCAGCCCTCTCTGTTTTTTGAGACAAGATCTCACTATGAAGCTCAGGCTGGCTTTGAACTCCTAATCCTTATCCTCAGCCTCTTGAGAGCTCAGATTATAGGCATGCATCACCAAGCTCAGTTGCATATTCTTAAGCAGAATATGAATCTTTTGATTATTCACCATTAAAAAAATCTTTAAAGAAATCATGCTAAACTTTAGCTGTTGGAAAATACTATCTGACAACTTCAGGTGAAAGAATAACTATTTTTTAATAAGATTTAAAAGGAATCAAATATCTAAGACCATTTTTGATTGGCCATTCAAAATTGGCTTCTCTCCTCTAAGCCTACATTTAAAAAAATAACTTCTAACATAACACTTGGCATTAACTTATTTCTGTTTGTAATAAAAAACCAAAAGAACTTTATAGGTCCAAATTGGCCAACATTACAAGATAATTAACTTGAGGGAGAGGTGCAGCTTACAGAATCATCTGCTGTATTGTAAGGCAATCAATGAAGACAGAGCTTTTCCAGCCTAAATCTGGCGAGCGAATCTCTAACATGATAATTCTCTTTGGATCTGAGAGTCTGTCGGGCTGGCGGGATGGTCATGCCACGGTGTCGTCGCCGTTGAATTTGGATGAGAGCAGACTGAATGAGAAAGGAATGAACTTGGTGCCCGCACCAGTGTAGAATTTGTTTTGAAATTCTACCCTGCAAAAAAGCAAAGGACATATATTCATGGGAGATTGGAAGTCACATTAAAACAGTATTTGAAAGTTAAAGACAAAGTTTGTGTGCTAACACTGCTTTGCCCCACACACCAGGTTTGTCAGACAATTGTCCTTAAACACCCTGCCTGGCCTCACCTTCTGCGTGTGACAGCAAAGCTAGCGAACCCCAGACACACACAACAGAGCCTCTTCCATTTAGGTCACTGGATGTACAGCACAGTTAGCTGGAGAGGTAAGTGTGACTGTGTGCACATGTATGCAAGCATCAAGAAATGCCTGAAAGCCAGGTGCTGGTGGCTCACGCCTGTAATCCTAGCTACTCAGGAGGCTGAGAAGTGAGGACTATGATTTGAAGCCAGCCCAGGCAGAAAAGTCCATGAGACTCTTATCTTCACTGAACCACAAAAAAAGCAGGAAATGAAGCTGTGGCTCAAGTAGTAAAGCACTAGCCTTGAGCAAAAAGAAGCTCAGGGATAGTGCCCAGGCCCTGAGTTCAAGCCCCAGAAAAAGCGTGTGCACACACACGCACAGCCTGAGAGCTGAGAGGTATTTTACAGTAAAGTAATGAAAGTATGAAAGCTAAGTAATTACTTTCTGAGCATAAGCAGAACTACCATCAGTAGTTAAACTGTGTTTTGTTTCTAAAGTGTGACTGGGCAGTCAGAGTGCACGTGTGCACACCAATTCAAATGGACAGCCCCACTCACCAGTGGAGGCGGATGGCATGGAGGAACGCTGAGAGCCCTTCCATGACCAGAAGGATAAAGATGGTGAGGACAGCAAAGAGTGCCATGACGGGCAGCAGCAGCAGGACCCCCATGGTCGTGTCCACGCGCAGGCCCACGCGCAGCAGCATGGCCCACAGCACATCGGACAGCTCTGAAAGAGAGTTTGTTCAGCACAGTATGAAAAACCACAGACCTGCTTTTAAGAGATCAGAAGCAGGGAGTACTAACGTGCCTCCCTCCCTTGTCAGCGTAGCTCATCTGCAGCCCTGGCACCTCCCTTGCCCTGCTCACCAGGGCACCAGATGCAGAACAAGTATCTTTCTGATTCATCGTGTTCTGCTCTAGTCTGGATTGGCCTCTGCACCCTCCCTGTATAGAACAATTTGGAACCTCTGGGCCTCACCCTGTGTTTCCCTTGGCCGGCCAGTGCCCTCCCTTGATTGTCCACTTCTGTCTGTGGGTTTCACCAGACAGGAAGCGACAGAACTGCCACTCTGCTGCCTGTGCCTGCACTGGAAGCCATGCTGACCACCACACAGGCCAAAGAGACAGGACAGACAGACACCCTGTCACAAAGCACATGGGTAATACTAAGGCAGTATAAGCTGGGAGTGGGCAGCCTGTGAGTTCGAACACACGTGTTCACATCTACTAAGCCATGAGAGGAACTGAGTCTGGAGTTATCATGCTGAGAGTAAGCATGATCTAACCCAAGTAGGGAAAAAACACTTGTGCTTGAACCAACAAGCAGGCCCTCCTGCAATTACACTGCAAACCAGCACTGCTTCAGGGTTCCCCTTGAGATAAATAAGCAACTGTTCTCAGTAAGGCAGGGTTGAACAAAGTATAGCGAGGCCCAACCCTGTAACAGTACTGATAGTGATGCTGTGAATGCCAGGAAGTCTCCTGATTTTCACTTCAAGTCTTGACCAAGAGACCAGAGACACACATAATAATAAGTTATGTTCAAGCAACCCAGCAGTAGTTCACACACTAGCTGTGAGACAGTGCTGTTTGCAGGAAATCTCCTGCAGTGCTGTGAGTTTTCACCTAACACCCCAGTGGATAGGAGCAGCAACTTACGTGCATGCGCCAGACTGAGCGCCCAGAGCCTCAGGTAGGACGCGGTGTTGGAGATGCAGCCAAGGCAGTACTCAATGGAATGGATCACCTGCGTCATCAGGATCTCTCCAAAGTTGAACTGAGAGACATTACACAGAACGTGTTAGACACTGTCCCAGGCTTGTTCCATTGGTATGCATGACCCTGGTGGGACCACGAGGAAGGGACTGGCCTTTGGAAAATGGTAACAACATGCTACAAGTGAGGCCGTGAGCAGGGATCTGAGTCCTGCTGGAAGCTCTCACACTCACCAACTCAGTGACTGAGGGGTTCACACCCCCACTGCACCCCCATCTGCCTGAGCCTCAAGTGGGATTGTGACGATGGCTACACCCACACAGAGCTCACCCAGTCCAGGCCTCAGGGGCATCTACAATGGAAAAGCCCTCGGGAACCTCAGGTGTATACAGCATGCCATGTGCCTGGTTAGCAGAAAAGCCAGTAGAGGTGCCAAGGGACATGTGGAGAAGAGGCCAGAGTGGAAAGAGGGGACACTAGGCGAGGTACCCCAGTGCATCCCAGATCTGCTTTTTGGTTCTACCAGCCTATGATTTATTAAACATCACAAATTAAAACACTACATCTCATAAGGGTGACAAAATGTAGCTGGGCACTGGTAGCTCATGCCTGTAATCCTAGCTACTCAGGAGGCTGAGATCTGAGGAATCATGGTTCAAAGCCAGCCCAGGCAGAAAAGTCTGTGAGACTCTGATCTACAATAAACCACTAGAAAACCGGAAGTGCTGCTTTGGCTCAAGAGGCAGAGCACTCCCCTTGAGCCATAGCTACTTCTGGCTTTTTTGGTAGTTAAAATGGGTATGAGTCTCATGGGCTTTATTGCCTGGGCTGGTTTCAAACTACAATCCTCAGATCTCAGCCTCCTGAGTAGCTGGATTTACAGGTGTGAGCTACTGCATCCGGTTTGTTCAGTCTTTATTAAGCAATATCATAGGGCCAAATTTAAAATACAAAATACAGTTATAAAGACAAAGGCTTAATAAAGACCTCTCAGAATGGGAGACCCAGGAGCTGCCATCAAGCCCGGAAGCCCACTCTTACCTGTCCTGTGGGACAGGGTGTCCTGACTGATGCCATGTTCACCACCCGAAAGCTGCTTCCCATAACCTACACTGCCGACACTACATACTCTAGTGCAAAATGAAAATCCAGACTTTGGTTATAGCACCAATTGTAGGACCAAAGCGGCGCCCAGGAAGTTCAGAGTAATGCTGCTACTTCCTCGTATCTCTAATTACTGTTTATAATCACACACTTAGCTAGAGAAATGAACAACAGAGTGAAAAGTTACCTCTTCACACGTCATCTCTCTGCAGCCATCTTCCCCTTGGCTGTTTCCCTGTTCGATATCGTGGCTCCCGAGTAGAGACACCTCTTCCTCACTGTCCTTCCTCACAAGTGTGTAGCCACTCTGGCAAGCAGAAGAGCACACGTCACAAGGCTGCGACCAAACAGAATCACTCCTTGCTTCAGCAATTCAGCTTTGTGAAGAAAAGCTTCCTAAAAGAAAATGAGCACTTCATGCCAGTTAGTGTGGTGACTAAGAGGGGGAGAAAAGGAGAAAGAAAAAGGGGGAGGGAGGAAAGAGAGACAGAGAGGATAATGAGCATTGGTAATGATGTGACAAAACAGAGCCTTGTGTACTGCTGTGGAAATGTAAATGCAAAATAACTGGGGTGATTCCTCAAAAATAAGCAGCAGTGCCAAGTGATCCAGCACCCCTGCTTCTCCTATGCAACTAGAAGAACTGAAAATTGAGACTTGAAGAGTAAGTATCAGAACAATCATGTTCATAGAAGCCTCAGTCACAAAAGCCCAAAGCCAGAAACAGTAAAGTACCCACCCACAAATGTATGCATAGACATGGCACAAAATATCCACAGAAGAAACTTTTATACTGACTTAAAAAGGAAAATTCAATATATGAGATAACACAAATGAAAAGTTAAGGCCATTATGCTATGGGAGGCCAGACACAGGGCAGATATTATGAGTCTGCTTCCACAAGGCACTTCCCAGCACAGAGAATCCTGAGTAGAGAGTATGGGGGTGGGGTGGGGGACTTTTGCCTAATAGGTACCAAGGTCTGGTTTGCAAATGCAGGCTGCAGACGAATGATAGTCTCGTGAAGCCTGCAATAGAGAAGGCTCTGGCTTTGAACCAGGCCTTCGACAGGCACACACAGACCCACTTACCCGGTTCATGCCAAAGCAACCACGCCCATTGTGCAGCCACAACAGAAAGAGTGGCTTTCCCAGGAGGAGGACGGGCACTGACAGTGCCGTGACGATCAGCAGCAGCTTCTGGACGTGCTTCTGTGGGGAACACCAGGGAAGCACGAGAACATGGAGGTGTTAGGAAATGTGGTGAGGGGCAATCTTCCCAACCCTCCCAGAGGGGGAGGCAGACTGAGCACCTGCCCTGTGTAGAGGCCACGTGTGTCAGCAGTGGGGAACAGGAACATGTTGATGAACTCGATGAGAATGCTGGGCGCATCCCGGGAATTGGCTGCCGAGTAGATCAGCCACTTGTAGACAATCATGAAGATCAGGTAGCCAAAGATGCACAGCATGAACAGCAGCTCTGGGATGGTGACCAGGTAAATGTTGAACTTTTTCCTGAAGTGCCTGGGAAAGGAGGGAGCCATCACCACAAAGCGGGGGTCGGCTGGGTGAAGTGCTTAGTGACAAGGCAACAGGCCCGTCCTGAGGCTCTGCTTGTCCGGATGGCTCATGGTTTTGTGGTGCTGTGGGTCTGCCCACAGAGGTGCCCAGGGAGGAGGGGGACGCCAGCCAGGCCCACCACAGCTTTCACCATGGCTCCTTTATCTGGAGTCTTTGCTCCCCTTAAAGTAAGCCTGCAGATTTGAATCTGCCTCCAAAATGCTCTGTCGTAAAGAAAGGGTTGTAAAAGCTCTTCAGGTCTCCAGTTACGTTACAATTTAAAGCAACCACATTGAATGACAAACTACATCTGGTAATGTCAATGAGCAGTCTGTTTAGGGAAAGACATGCAATCTCTTACTCATAATACGCTAGCTCTAATCACTCTTAACACCAAAATGCTTTCTAACTTATAAGCTCCACAAGGACGCATCCTCTTCCTGCCCCGCACTGCTGAAACCCAGTGCCAGGACGGTGCCTGGCACAGTGCATGCCCAGAACATCCTGCTGAGTGAAGCAATGACTGATCACAGAGAAACTAACAGCGCCAAGTCACACTGTCAACACACTTGGCCCTGCATCCACTCAGCACAGCCCACCAGAAGCCAAATTTAAGAAATCTCTAACAACCTATAGACATAGCTGAAGAAAAATCTGTACTTACAAGTGGTTAAATATTCCCAGAATGACACCGAAAGTCATGTGAGTAATTCCTAAAATCACAGACATTTTCATTTTGAAAGAATTTAGGAAAGTGAGGCGGTTCGTGGCCAAGTTCCAAATCTAAAGACCAAATAAAACACAAGAGAAAACGTTCATTTCCTTGCACAGAGATTCTGGGAACGCGGCTCTAGATGGCAAGGGAAGCAACACCATGGTCTCCCTGCCTGCAGCCTAGGCAGGAGGGCCAGACACACTCACTGCAGGCCAAAGACTGAGCCCACGGGAGTGGGGGAGAACGAGGACAGCCAGTGTAAGCCACACATGGCTCCCCTGCCCATCCCTGCCTGTGAGCTAAAAACACGCTGGTGTGGGGGCCATCTGCCAGGAGGGAGGTGGGACCTAAGAACAGACACTGTGTTCTCCACACCCCACAAACAGACACCTATGGCCCCTGCTCCCCACAGTAACAGAAACCCGTGTCCCCGACACTCCCACAGACAACAGACACCCGTGGCCCCCACATCCCACAGACAACAGACACCTGTGTCCCCCATATCCCACACTCCACAGACCCATGTCCCCCACACCCCATGGAGAGCTCTACAAGGGCACAGACACAGGTGATAGCTACCCCAGCAAGCTGTGTGAAACCTTCAGACAACTGTAGGTATGCAGATTACCACACCCCTATCTGGCCTTCTCCCCCAAATCCCACTCCAACTTTCTTTTTTTTTTGTCAGTCGTGGGGCTTGAACTCTGGGCCTGGGCACTGTCCCTGTACTCGTCAGCTCATGGCCAGCACTCTACTGCTTGAGCCACAGCGCCACTTCCAGTTTTCTAGTGGTTTATTGGAGATAAGAGTCTCACGGAGTTTCCTGCCCGGGCTGGCTTTGAACTGTGAGCCTCAGATCTCAGCCTCCTGAGTAGCTAGGATTACAGCAGGGCTGCACAAGCACCATGATGACGCCAGCTCCGCGCCACACTCTTTGTAGACCAAGGGAAGAAATAATTGACATAGATGAAGAAGGAATCTGCAAAGGCTCCCCGAATCCCTGGTGGCACTGGGAAAGGAGGGCCACCCCGACACCCGGGTGGACTCACAGGGTCGATGCCGAAAGGGTAAGGACCTCGGAACACTCCAGGGACACTTGGATTCAACTGCAAAACCCTGTTGCTGCGGACCACGGTGTCACTGTGAGAGGGAAGGGGAGGTGTGAGGGATGGGGCCTCTCGATCTGATCACCCCACTTCTCTGTGGCAGTCCAGCAGCTCCCCCACTTACTTCCACAGCACCATGCTCTCCTGCTCCTTCGCCTCGTGGCTGGAGCTGTACATGGCAGACACATTCCACCCAGAGCCAAAGATGTTCATGGACTTGGAGAAGCAGTCGTTGTACACGAGGCCAGTGTACACGGAGAACAAGCCCATGAGCAACAGGATGTAGCGGCCGTGGAAGAACATCCTCATGATCTGTGCAAAGTGGAAAACGTGGTGACAGGACTAATGCCACATGGGTCGCCTGGCCTGACCCAGGTCTCTGTCACTCACAGGTGCCAGGTGCGCACCTCTGCAGCACACAGACAACCCCAAGCTGGCATTTTAAAAGCAGCTCTCACAAACGCAAGTGTGGCTCAAGTGGTAGCCACCAACTGTGAGAAAACAAAACAAAAAAACTGTGAGGAAAAAAAAAAGCAACAAGAAAGTGAGGCCCTGAGTTCAAGTTCCAGCATTGGTACAAAAAGAAAGAAGTAAAATTTTTAAAAAATTTAACTAAAATTAAAAGCAAAACGCCCCAGCAATGGTGGGGCAGTCAGCACGCGTGGCGGTCAGCGCGTGTGGCGGTCAGCGGGCGTGGCGGGTGTGGCGGTCAGCGGGCGCGGCTCACCTCCTGGGACTGCTTCAGGCGGGGGTGGTTCTCATACAGCACCAGCAGGAGGGCAAACAAGAACATGACGAAGCCGTGCCCCAGGTCCCCAAACATCACCGCAAACAGGAACGGGAACGTGATGATGGTGAAGAGGGCTGTGGGGAGGATGGAGGACACTCACAGCCATGCCAACACAACTGCAAGGACACCCACATCCCCAGCAACTGCCCACTTTCCCAGTCCTTGAGTGGGGAAGCACAACAGGAGGCCTGTGCGCTTGGACGCCCACCTGGATTCACCTCTCTGTAGCTGCCGACGCCGTAGGCGTCCACGATGCTCTGAAAGCCCTCGGTGAACCTGTTGGTGCGGATGAGCGTGGGCGGCGTCTCCTTGGTGGGGATAGTGTTCATGAATGAAGGGATCGCAGCCCCACTCTCTCTCTTGCACACAGAAAAGAAAAGGAGAAACATGCCATTCAACGAAGTTAGAAAGCCACACTGCTTCGGGCAGAAGCCTGTGGTGGCTGCACTGAAATGGTCAGAGGTCAGAGGGCAGCAAAGGAGGGAGGAAGAGGTCTCATCACAGCATCTTCTGGGGCCATGGCTCCCAGAGGAAGCACGGGAACAGAGCTGCAGGCAAAGGGGAGGAGAGAAGGAGCTGGGCGTGAGGAGCATGGGGATAAAAGGCCCGGAGTCACCAATGTAAAACAGAGATTAGGCTGGTGTGGCGATGCATGCCTATAATCTCAGAACATAGGAGGCTGAGCCAATAGAATTTCAAGTTTGAGAGCAACCTGGTCTACAGAGCAAGACCTTACTAAATAAATAAGTAAATAAATAATCATCATAATTTAGTAATTGTAATACAGATAGCAAAAATTCTATATGGCTTATGATTCTTCTGAAGTATTTATTGATTTGTTTATTGATTTAAAAATGAGAAGAGCTTGGGCTGGGAAGGTGGCTCAGTGGTAGAGCACTTGCCTTGCATGCATGAGGCCCTGGGTTCGATTCCTCAGCACCACATAAGAAAAAAGAAAAAAGCCGGAAGTGGTGCTGTGGCTCAAGTGGTAGAGCGCTAGCCTTGAGCTGAAGAGCTGAGGGACAGCGCCCAGGCCCAGAGTTCAGGCTCCATGACCAAAAAAAAAAAAAAAGAGAAGAGCTGGGCGCCAGTGGCTCACATCTGTAATCCTAGCTACTCAGGAGGCTGAGATCTGAGGATCACAGTTCAAAGTCAGCCCAGGCAGGAAAGTCCATGAGACTCTTATCTCCAATAAACCACTAGAAACCCAGAAACAGCGCTGTGGATCAAGCGATAGAGCACTCGCCTTGAGCTGAAGAGCACAGGGACAGTGCCCAGGCCCAGAGTTCAAGACCCATGACTGACCAAAAAAAAAAGGTCACTAGAAGTTAGTAAGTCCAACAATCCAACAGACAATGGGCAAAGTAGGAAGGTCAAAGTGGATCCACAGAACTATCACAGTGAAACTCCTATGTACTAGTAATATATGCTAAGAAAAACTAGGCAAAGTTTCTACAAAAAAAAAGGAATGTCAGGCACCAGTGGCTCACTCCTGCAATTCTAACTTCTCAGGAGGCTGAGATTGGAGGATCAAAGTTCAAAGCCAGTCCAGGCAGGAAAGTCTTTGAGACTCTTATCTCTAATTAATCAGCAGAAAACCAGACGTGGCACTGTGGCTCAAGTGGTAAAGCGCTCACCTTGAGCTGAAGAGATCAGGGACAACACCCAAGACCAGAGTTCAAGCCCCATAACTGACAAAAAAAAAAAAATTGCAAAATTCTTCAGAAAGGTGCAGGCAGTGCGAGCCAAGCCAGCACACGCACAGGGTAGCAAGTACCTGGAGGAGACGCTAAGGCCAGTGCTACTCACTGCATGGGATTTCTAACTCAGGATGGCCTCGGAGGCCAGGAACTGTGAGGTGAAACATGGCGCTGCACAAGCCACCTGGTCTTGAAAGGGGGACACGTGACACGTCACGTGAGTCAGGCAATGTGAGTAGCATGAAACCTTCTGTGGGAAAGGGGGCAACAGAGGCAGAACAGACATGACAGTTCTTCTCAGCAAGGAGGCTGCCGGAGGCAGCCACTGCCCAGCCCTTTACGGCTCTACAGTTCATACTACTTATTTCAAACAGCAATGTAAAATGCTGGGTGTGGGGTGCACTCTTGAAATCCCAATGCCCAGGAGCTGAGGCAGGAGGATTCTGAGCCCCAGGCCTACCCTCAGCTACCTAGAAAGACCCAATCTTAAAAAACGAAAGAGCTGCTGGGCACTGGTGGCTCACACCTGTAATCCTAGCTACTCAGGAGGCTGAGATCTGAGGATCAAGGTTCAAAAGCCAGCCTGGGCAGGTAAGTCCGTGAGACTCTTTTTTCCAATTAACCACCAAAGTGGTGTTGTGGCTCAAGTGGTAGAGCATTTGCCTTGAGCTGAAGAGTTCAGGGACAGCGCCCAGGCCCAGGCCCAAAGATCAAGCCCCACAACTGACAAAAAAAAAGCTTCACCGAGCCTTGCTCCAGCGCGCGGCGCAGGCCTGGCAGGTCCGCCTCGGGGCACCAGACCTCAGCGATGAGACACTTGTTGGTGACATCGAAGCTGCACATGTTCAGCATGTGGTAAATAGCCTTCATCTTCTTCACCTGCACGACACGGCTGTACACTGACTCAGCAGCTTTGCACAGCACTTGCCTTAAATAATCCTCTGTCTTGTGAAGCACCTGGGGAGAGCAAACACGGCGTTCAGCCCTCAAATGTGTTACAGTCTGGACCCACTTTAGGGAGCCCCCCAGGCACCCGCCTCCAGGAGCAAACCACCAGAGTGGGCAGAAAACAGCTGAGCAGGGAGAACAAGACCTGGGGACAGAATGTTAGACCTTGTCATCGTGCGCATGCTCACCTACTGGACCCAGCCAACATTCTGAGCCCCCATTTCTGGAACTCTCACCAAGTTCCACCCAGCCCTTGTGCCAAGAAATCCCCTTTTGCTGAAATGCATGTTTTGCCTGCAAGTCTGAGCAGAGCGGCCAGTGACACCCCACTTCCATGTGGGTTCCTCATGCTTTGTAGTCATCAATGACAGACAATCTGACAAATCATTTTGTGGTGCTGGATGTGAAGCCACGCCTCCAGCCCCAGTGCCTTCACTGCAGAGACTGCTGAAATCTCGCTTTCATAAGGGAGGGATGGAAGGTAGACAGCTGCAACCTCATGACATCCTAGACCTTCCCCCAAGCAAGCGAGCTTGCTCCTCTGTGCCCATTCCTCACCGTGTACAGATCCTGGATCCGAGTGCTCAGCCCCTCCTGGATCTCCTTGCGCTCCTCGGCCGTGTTTGGGTAGGGGTAGAGGTGGCAGTGGTAGCTGGAAGACAGAATGGACCTCAGTGCCTGCTGAGCACAGACCCTCGGGGGGCCTCTAGGCGCTTCTCTCCTTACCAGTCACAGATCTTCTTGACCTTGTGGCCAATCTGCTCTCCCCAGAAAGATATCAGAAACACGTACCACTTTATGACTTCCCCCTACGAAGAACAAATACAGGACAGGTAAGTGCTCCTGAGCAGCCCAAACTCAGCTCAGACCGAATACACTCAATTGCTCAGTAAGCACAGTCCTCTTATCTGCACACTCACTGCTTGCTAAAACAACCCCACAGCCAGCATTCATCCCACTCCCACTGGACCTGCAGAGCAGCAAGAACCTTTCAACACCTGCTATGGACTGGTGAACCCCAACAAGGTCACCACCCCTGCCCCAGCTTTCATCCACTAACCAAGTGTCCTCTCTCAGGCTATTTATGACATCTTTCTGAGCTTTCTATTGGTAATTTGCTGGTCAAAATGTCCACCAAGAACGCTGAAGTGCTGTCTAGTGCCACATGGTAAGACAGCTTTGCTGGGAAATACATGTGCTGAAGAAGCCTCAATCAATTGGCATGAATTACAGCGCTGTTGGCCAAGAGCTGAATGTAAATGAACCAACAATACATAATAAACAAAGTGTCTAGCCTGGCACTGGTGGCTCACACCAGCTACTCAGGAAGCTGAGATCTGTGGATTGTGGTTCAAAGACAGCCCAGGCAGGAAAGTCAAGAAGCCCTTATCTCCAATTAAACACAAAAAGCCAGAAGAAGTGGTAGAGCACTAAGCTTGAGCACAAAGGCTCAGGAATAGCACCCACGCCCAGAGTTCAAAAGAGAAAAGAAGGTTCTGGGCACCGGTGGCTCACACCTGCAATCCTAGGTACTTAGGAGGCTGAGATCTGAGGATCATGGTTCAAAGCCAGCCCAGGCAGGAAAGTCCGTGAGACTCTGATCTCCAATAAACCACTAGAAAACGGGAAGTGGCGCTGTGGCTCAAGCAGTAGAGTGCTCACCTTGACCTGAAGAGCACAGGGACAGCGCCCAGGCCCAGAGTTCAAGACCCACGACCGACCAAAAATAAATAAATAAATAAAATAAATAAATAAAAGAGAAAAGAAGGTATCTAAATAAAACACAAATATCAAGGTTACTCTGACACTGGTGACTGGAGCGGTGGACCTGATGTCCACACTTGCTAACTCAGTACCCACAGTGGCTCAAAAGGACAGTTACTGCCAATAACAAGAATCAACTGAATTTGCAAATATCAACAAAATAGAATTCTACAAAAAACTAAACAGGAAGGTAGGCACCCGTGGCTCATACCTGTAATCCTAGCTACTCAGGAAGCTGAGATCTGAAGATCCCAATTTGAAATCAGCCTAGGCAGGAAAGTCTGCGAGACTCATATCTCCAGTTAACCAGCAAAAGGCTGGAAATTTCTTGAGTGGTAAAATAGCAGCATTAAAGGAAAAGCTAAGTGAGAGCAAGAGGCCCTTAGTTGAAGTCCCAGTATCAGCACAAAGAAAAAAATCTACACAGGAATGCCACAGTGTAGCAGAGTGGATGCCTAGTATCCATGAAGTCCTGAGTTTGATCTCTAGCACTAAAAAAAAACAAGGCTGGGAATGTGGCTTAGTGGTAACGTGCTTGCCTAGCATACATGAAGCCTTGGGTTCCATTCCTCAGTACTATGTAAACAGAAAAAGCCTTGAGCAAAAGATGCTCAGGGACAGTACTCAGGCATGGCAAAAAAAATCCAAGGAAACTGACTAGGAGCTGACTCTATTGCCAAGCACTAGCAGAGGTACCAGGAGACATGGAGGGATACAGACGATGAAGAGAATAAGGCTTGAAGGGACAAGGGAGGCTGTAAGGAAGCAAAGCCCCAGTGCAGTGCTGGCCACGTGAAGGAGAGAATTCTATGGACTTCGGGGAGCTCTTTCCCAGCAAAAGGAAAACTAGGAGGATCACAGTCAGAAGCAAGAGGGATGGACAGATGGCAGCAGGAACAGCAGTCAGAGACGTGCCAGCACCCGACCACTGCAGGTGGTAGAGGGTGGAAGACTGTCAGGACCACTGTGGGGGCTGGGAGGAGACCATAATGGGGGGGGGGGAGGTAGGCGGGAGGCAGGTGCAGGGCTGCTGCAACCTGGAGGTAGGAAGATGTGGCTAACCTGACCCAGTGGTGGCAGGGAGGAGAAGCTGCCACACTACCTTCTTCCAAATGCAGGCCACTAGATCTGCAGGGCATTGAGTGCTGTGAGCAAAAAACAGATACCCCAGGAGTTCTTGTCCAAGTCCTTAGAAACAGGGAGCTTTGGAGGGGTCAGAGCAGGGTAGGTGTGTAGGGTAGGTGTGCAGGCCAGATATGTAGGGTAGGTGTGTAGGGAAGGTGTGCAGGGTAGGCTTGTAGGGCAGATGTACAAGGTAGGTGTGCAGGGCAGGTGTGTAAGGTAGGTGTGCAGGGCAGGTGTGCAGGGCAGGTCTGCAGGGCAGGTGTGTGGGACAGGCTTGTAGGACAGATGTGCACGGCAGGTGTGCAAGACAGGTGTGGCAGGACAGATTGAAGGAGAGGGTGAGACTCCAGCTTAAGGTGCAGAGTGGAAGCATGGGCCCTCAGAATACGTGAAAAAGGTGGACTGGACTGGGTGCTCGGGGGAGCGGGCCAGTCGCCTGTCACCCCACTGTGGGCCAGTCGCCTGTCACCCCGCTGTGGGCCAGTCGCCTGTCACCCCGCTGTGGGCCAGTCGCCTGTCACCCCGCTGAGGGCCAGTCGCCTGTCACCCCGCTGAGGGCCAGTCGCCTGTCACCCCGCTGAGGGCCAGTCGCCTGTCACCCCGCTGAGGGAAAGGCCCGGGCCACACTGCTGTGCTGTCTCCCAGCAGTCTGCACAGGTACTCACGGTCTCAGGGTCCTCCAGGGCCTCATCCAGCTCGGCGTAGGTCACGATGGTGTAGCCTTTGCAGACCCTCCACAGCATTTTTTCAAAGGCTTCGACTTTTCCTTGGTGAATTAGGCCTGATATAAATCTGTAAGACAATGAAGAACCTGCAGTCGACTCAAAGAAGTCAGTATTACCAAGTTGCATTAACAGAATGGTAGTTTCCATTTGTACTTTATTAATGGCACTGGGGACTTAAACCCAGAGCCTTGTACTTGCTAGGCAGGGGCTCTATCACATGAGCTACTCTGATGGTCCTTTTGTTCTTTTCTGAGACAGAATGTCACATTCTGTCTCACACTAGGAGCCCCTAATGGTATTTCCTCAGAGGGCTGGGATACAGAAACCCACCACTTATTAAGAGTCTCAAGAACTCTGCTGTACCAGCTGGTCTTGAACCCTGATGTCATGATCTCCTCCTCCCAAGTAGCTAGGCTTAAGCCACTGTGCCCAGTCACATTTCCATTATTCACAAAACAGCAAAGGCAGTCTGAATACTCTCCAGCTGAAAACATTTATTTAACATGATATCTAAAATGTTTCTGAAATGGCCTTTTAAAGGATAGCTATGCCAGGAGTGGTGGTATACACCTATAATCCCAGCATTCATGAGACTGAGCTAGGAGGGTCCTGGCTTGGAAGCTAACAGGGCTACACTGGGAGACCAAAATGGTGGCACAGGCTGTATGCCAGCCACTCAGAAGGTGGAGGAAGGAAGGACTGGGCAAAGTTGGTGACACTATGTCTCAAAGACAGAAAATCAAAATGAAAGAGCTGGGACAAAGCTCAAGGACCTGCCTAGCAAGGACACAGCCCTGAGTTTCAATCCCCAGTACTGTGCATGCACAGAGAGCCACCTGGAAAGCATGCCGGGCTGAAACCCCAAAGTAAATGACTGCAGGGTGGCAGGGCACTTCCAGTCCCCTAGGAAAGCACAACTGCCTAGAGGAGGCTCTCCCAACTAAACCCCACCAGACACCCCACTGACACCCACAGACCCCACAGGCAGGCCACCCCCAACACCCACCAGCCTCGGCCAGTCTTCGACAACCCCAGGCTGGCAGGAGCCCACCTACACCTACCATCACCACACCTACCCTCCTCTGATACCTACCCCACACAACTACCTCCTACTGTCATCTACCCCTCAGCAGCCTCCCACCTACCCCTACTGACACCTACCCCCCAGCTACCCTACACTGATACCTACCCCCCACAACTACCTCCTACTGTCATCTACCCCTCAGCAGCCTCCTACCGACCTCCCACTGACACCTACTCCTACAATTAACTACCTCCCAACTATTCCCCACCTACCCAACTACCTCCTACTGACATCTACCCCCTCAGCAGCCTCTCACCTACCCCCCACTGATACCTATTCCTACAGTTACCTACCCCCCAACTACTTCCCACCTACCCCCCACAACTACCCTCCACTGACACCTATCCTGCACTATCACCTACCCTCTGCTACTACCCCTGGTGTCACCTCCCCCTATAACTACACCCACAACTACCCTCCACTGACAGCCACCCTCCCACACTTAACCCAAACTGACAACTATCCCCCCCACACCCACTCCCCACTGACACCTACCCCAGTTTGGCTCCTAGCCTGTGCATGCAGCTGTAGTCCAACAAAGAATCATTCTCTAAGGAAGGAAATTCTTCATAAGTGGGCTCAAACTAGAAAGAGATGGAAGACCAAGTGTGTGTCATTAACCATGGCACTGTCGTGGCTTCATCCAAAAGAGTCACTTTGCCAGAGATGACAGCTAGACCAGGGGACCTGTTTCGAGGGGACCACTTGTTCTGTCCACGTCAGCTCAGCGTAGTGCAGACTGAGCCTTCTTCACACGAGGTCCTGGAGGCACCAGGGATACCACACAGGGGGGAAAGTCTGAACAAACGCTGAAAGTCCCCAAACCTCCAAGTGGGAGCCGCTTGGTGCAGGTGCTGTGCATCAGGCACGTGTGAGCTCCCTTCTGCAAACCGTCCTCCGTTCTCTAAATTACACACCTTCCTTTTCCCTTAGCAATTTGGAAGAACTAAAATTTAGAGTTCAACTTCCACTGCCCAACTTTTTCCCATGATCATTAAGATTCTTTTAAGAAAAACAAAAGCATCTCACAAATAGGAAGTACTGTGGTGGCTAAAACCAGCCACCCCAGAAAAAGGCAGGCGCTCTTCACATCTTAAACCCCAAATGAAGAAGAATGCTGTGCTGGAAGTGCATCAGCTGGAAGCAGTGCATGGATGTGCACACACGCACACGCGCGCACATGCGCACACACATGCAGGCAAGCAGCATCCGCAGCCTCTGGGAAGGAGCCTAAACACTGCCCATACCTCAACGTTCCGCCTCACAAAGGTCCTGGTCACCCTCAGCATATGCGTGTACTCAATCAGTTCCAGAAGGTTTTTCCTCAACTTCTCCTTGTTCTTGGTGACTTCTCTCAGCTCCACCTCAAGCTTCTGCAACTGCTCCTACAGAAAAGCAGCCATCACTAGAGCTGGCTCAGTTCCTAGAGTTATCTGGTAAGCTGCTAAGGGAGGTTTTTAAAAGGCAGGACTCGACAGAGTAAGAAAACACCAAGATGGAAAGGTGCCTCGTTGACCCTCATCCTAGGCTCAAATCACTCTTGTGAAGTTCATACTGCATGTGACAGAAAACCTCGTAGGCTATGCAGACTGAGTACCGGAGTGGCACCTCAGCTCTAATCTCGGAACCTCTCCAGTCTTTTCCTTCAGCACCACACATCAAGTCTACATGTCCTCTAATTTGCAACCTAGGAATTTCTTCTTTTTTTTAAAATTATTTATTTATTTATTTTGGCCAGTCCTGGGCTTAAACTCAGGGCCTAGGCACTGTCCCTGAGCTTCTTTTGCTCAAGTCTAGCACTCTACCACCTGAGCCACAGTACCACTTCTGTGGTACTGAGAAATCAAACCCAGGGCTTCATGAGTACTAGGCAAGCACTCTACCACTAAGCCACATTCCCAGCCCCATATTAAGCATCCTTATCAATATGTAAGTACTAAAACAATAGACCCAGAGATACATAAGACCATACCATTGAGCCAATGAAAGCCAATACCATTGAGCCAATGAAAGCCAATCACTTAACACACAATATTTACTCTACACTAGTACTGTGCCCTGCTTTATGAAAACTATCAGTGTCTGTAATTATGACATAATCAGCTTATCCAACAGGCCAAACCAGATGACTGGTTTCTACTCCGCATTGCAGAGTTCTCTGGAGTTCACTTATCACCTGTGGAAGATGCCTCCTTCCCAGACAACCAGGGAGAAGCCTTCCTACCGCATGTATGAAGAAGCATCACAGGACAGAAGCCAAGACATAATCTGCTGAGCCTCTGTGGAACAACAGCAAGGGGGTCCTTCCCCCCATGATGGAAAAGGGCTGAGCATCCACATACCATCTATGACTGAATGTTAGCACAGTGGTGGTTTTCACATTACTGTGTGGAGAAGGCAGAAAGGCATGTGTGATTCTGTGCCCAGGGGCCCATGTTACCTGCATTTCTAGGACCTGTTTAAGGGGTGGCGCGGGAGGACTAGCCTCTCCTTCGGGCAGAGGGATGTCGGCTCTGGTGATCTCCTGCACCAGGTACACTGAAAGCAAGAGTTAAACAGATGACATACACAGTGAGAACACTGAAAAGCCAGTCTTCCAAATGCCAGCCTTGCAGCTCCACCTACTTCTGGGCCACATCCTACCATGGAGCAAATCATGCCTGTAATCCTAGCTACTCAGGAGGCTGAGAGCTGAGAATCTTGGTTCAAAACCAGCCCAGGCAGGAAAGTCTGTGAGACTCTTATCTCCAGTGAACCACCAGAAAACCAGAAGTAGCTGTACTAAAGAGGGGAGGGATGGCGCCCAGGCCCAGAATTCAAGCACCTCAACCAACAACAACAAAAAAATCCAACCCTTAGTAACCAGAGATCACAGGATCTAATTCATAAAAGAAGCCCCAAGGAGGTGGGTGGAGAGTGTTAAGTGTTACCAGGCCAGTACTCAGCTGTACCCTCCCCCTCCCACCTAGATGATAGCTGTTAAGTAGTCAGTTAGCACTCAGCCACAGTCCTAAGGTCATAAACTACAAAGAATGGATAAATAAGTCACAGGGCTTTAACACAATGAAATTCTATGCAGCTATCAAAAATGAAGGGTCTAGGGTGGGGTTTAATGGTAGAGCAGCTGCTTAATCACCTCAAGGCCTTGGGTGCAAACCCACATACTGCCGATAAAAATGACATTGAGGGGGGCTGGGAAGGTGGCTCAGTGGTAGAGCGCTTGCCTTGCATGCATGAGGCCCTGGATTCAATTCCTCAGTATCACATAAACAGAAAAAGCTGGAAGTAGACTGTGGCTCAAGTGGTCTTGTGTTAGTCTTGAGCACAAAGAAGCTCAGGGTCAGTACTGAGGCCCTGAGTTCAAGCCCCAGATCTGGCAAAAGAAAGAAAGAAAGAAAAGAAAAAAAAGGTTCTCAGCTGGGAAGGTGGCTCAGTGGTAGAGCGCTTGCCTTGCACGCATGAGGCCCTGGGTTCAACACCTCAGCACCACATAAGCAGCAAAAAGCCGGAAGTGGCGCTGTGGCTCAAGTGGTAGAGCGCTAGCCTTGAGCTGAAAAACTGAGGGACAGTGCCCAGGCTCAGAGTTCAGGCCCACGACCAACCAAAATTTTAAAAAAATTTTAAAAAGGTTCTTAATTTACACATAGTAAGGGCTACCAAATAACAAAATGACCTGACTGTTACAGTGCAAATCTTTATTTTTATACAAGAATGGTAAACAATATTTTAAAAAAACTATGTATCCACACAATAGTGATAACCTTTTTTGGGGGGGGGGGGTCCAGTCGTGTGGCCTGAACTCTGGGCCTGGGCGCTGTCCCTCAGCTCTTCAGCTCAAGGCCAGCGCTCTACCACTTGAGCCGCAGAGCCACTTCCGGCTTTTTTCTTTTTGCTTATGTGGTGCTGAGGAATCGAACCCAGGGCCTCAGGCATGCAAGGCAAGCGCTCTACCACTGAGCTACCTTCCCAGCCCAGTGATTACCATTGAACGGAAAATATGAGTTATATCTTTTTTCCTTTCTGTTGGTTTATATTTTCTAGTTTTTCTAAAAGGTACAGGTTTATTAGATAAAAGTAACTATTTACACTAAAATGAAAAATAAACTTACCCAATATTCGTTCTAGTTCTTCACACCGCTTTACTTCACCAACAAATTTTCTTTGAAAAGAACTGACATTCTGGTTAAGCTGAGGAAAGGACAGAAATTTTGCTTTAAACTTCTAAAATTTAAAATTTATTTTTTATCTATTTTTGATGCTAGAGATCAAACCCAGGACTTTGTACATACACACCAACCCTCCGATTTTTTTTTTTCTGGCCGTACTGGAATTGAACCTAGGCATGATTGGTAGGTGCTCTACCATTTGAGCCATACTCCTGAGCCTTTTAGTTGGTTGAGATATTCCTAGCCTGGACTTGAATTCTAGTCCTTTCAGAGTATCTCTATTTCTGAGTAGCTAAGATTACAATTGTATATTATCACATCTGACGTTTTCTTTTTGGTCGGTCGTGGGGCTTGAACTCTGCGCCTTGGCACTATACCTGCGCTCTTCAGCACAAGGCGAGCGTTCTACCGCTTGAGCCACAGCACCACTTCCTGTTTTCTAGTGGTTTACTGGAGATAAGAGTCTCACAGACTTTTCTGCCCGGGCTGGCTTTGAACCGTGATCCTCAGATCTCAGCCTCCTCAGTAGCTAGGATTACAGGCCTGAGCCACTGGCGCCCAGCTATGACCATTATTTTTTAAATATTACTGGTCATGGTTTGGGACAAGAACAAGTCTTACCTACTATAGAATGGAAATAAATTTTCTGGATAACCATCTGACAACTCTTTTATCAGAAGATATCCTTTGGCCTAAAATATCCCATGATGAAATTAAAAAAGGAAAGAAAACCATTATTATGGGGAAAAGTTATAAAAAACCAACCTCAGGGATAGAGGAAGTATAGTAATGCCTGTAATCCTAGCTACTCAGGAGACTGAGATTTGAGGATCACAGTTCAAAGCCAGCCTGGGCAGGAAAGTCCATGAGACTCTTATTTCTAATTACCTACCAGAAAACGAAATGGCACTGTGGCTCAAGTGGTAGAGCTCTCTCCTTGAGGTAAAGAGCTCAGGGACAGCACCCAGGCCGAGTTCAAGCTCCATGGCCAACCAAGAAAAAAAAAAAAATCTAACAATAGAAAATTGAGCAAAGAAACTACAGACCAAATCCCTTGCATGGAATACTACTGAGACAAAGGAACAAAGCAGACACACCAGTGACCTTCAGAAGTGGAAGAAGCCAGACCCAACTCACATGCTGCATGATTCCACAAATAGGAAAAACCCACAACAGGCACCTCCACACAGACCCTTGGAGAACAGCACTGCCTCGGCTGAGGGAAGGAAGATTATGTGTGCAAGTCTAAGGAATCCAGCTTCCTAGGGTGAGAGATGTTCTAAAACCATGTCAGGTAACTGGTAAACTTTCTGAAGAAACAGTGAACTGCATTCTTGAAATGGGTAGATTTTATGATGCACCTCAATAAAGTTGTAACTCTACTAGGTGGAGACCTGGCTCAAGTGGTATAACACCTGCAACAAGTCTGAGGTTCTGAGTTTGAAACCTCAGTGCCACAGCAACAAAAACAAGTCCCATACTGGACATAAGCTAGTTACATAATAATCATACGATGCCTTTCACTCATGTTGAGAGGCATCGTCGGTGAAAATTCTTTTTATTCTGTCCAGTGTTTATGCTAGGTACTCTCACAAACCAATCAGACAACACGGTTTGCTTGTTTGTTTTAAGCATTAACCAGAAGAAAGACAACATTCAGACTTCACCTGTTTGTCACATTCCCTTCCCTTTCTGGAGGCCATGTTAATGTGCAGAGACCACTTTCAAGTTCCTACCAAAGCTGACACAACTAGGAAGGGGGCGGAAGCCATGCATCAGAACTGTTCTCCAGCAAAACTAATTCGGCAGTAAAGTGCGCATCTTTCACTGAATGCTCTGGTTCTACAACAGCAAGATCTGAATAAAGAAGTAAATACCTGGTGTTGCAGTGGATGGTTTTCTGCCATATGGGTTACAATGATCAGGTTTGGTTTTGCTATTACTTGCAGTCATCTTAATTCAAAGCTAATGGGAAAAAGTACATGCATGGTGGTACACCCCTGTAATCCCAGCACTAAAGAGGCTAAAGCTGGAAGATCTGAGTTCCAGCAAGCCAGGATACATAGTGAGATTCAGTCTACTAAAAAGCAAACTAAAAATAAAAAAATGTGAAGGTATACTTCAACCTAGACCCCTGGTTCTGGTCTTCTGATAAGCGCTGGGATCACCCACGTGGCCCCTACCTCCTGCTCTAGAGCTTTTTTTCTATGTAGTGGTAGTGGTTCTGAGGGTTGAACTCAGGGCTTCAAGGATGGACAGGGGCTCTACCACATGAGCCACACCCAGCACCAGAACCCTTTTAAGATAAGCATTTCACAGGAGAGGCAGCAGAGACTTGAGGAGCTGAGACAGGGCTTAAATAAGAGAGAGGATCTTCCTTCCCCATTAATGCCAGTTTGTCATGGGACACCCCTCCCACTGGCTGACTCTGAGGGTATCCTCCACTGGCCCCCTCCCACCAAGAGAAAAGACAAAGGGAGGAGCCAGGGAGGGCGGAGGTCAGTGATCCAGCCCAGAAACAGGGGTGCACTTGGGACCCAGGCTGATGAGCATGGTGCTGCTGACAGCAGGACAATCACATGTGATGGCACTAAGGAAACCCATCTTTGTGGTGATTAGAGCGGTTGTCCCAACCTGAGATTACAGGTTCTGAATTGTCCCTGGCTTCAGATCTACCTGACAGAGAACAAGTCTGGCCTTTCCGGAGTACTCGCCACAGTGACACAGACCAGAGGGCCCCCCTCAGCGGCACCGGACTGTATAGTTCAGGAGTTTGTGCGGCACCCTGCAAGGAGCCCCCAGAAGATGAGGGGAACCGGCAGGGAGTATAAAGGCCCCAGCGCATTTCCATTCTGCTTGGATGCAGGTGGCTGAGCCAGCAGGCTCCAACTCCCTTCCTAGCCAGGGTATCTCAGGTGGAATCAGGGTGTGTTCACGGTCCCCACCCAGACAATCAACTCTGAGCTCCAGGATTCAGTCTGTTCGGTTCACACCGAGACTTCAGCACCAAAAACAGTGCCTGGGTGAGACAAGCACCCAAGAAGAGTTTGTTCATTCAACAAATCCTCACGAATGCCAGTAAACGCCAGCGACTGTGCCAGTGCTGGGAAGTGAACAAATCAGGCAAGGTCTCACCCGGGAGCCTGGCGGTCCACGGTGGGGACAAACAATGAACAAGTAATCGTCTGCATAAACAAGGGTTTATTATTACTTGCGGACATCACTTCCATTCCACGCATAAAGACTGGGCTGGGTCCTGACCGCGCAATGACAGGTGTCAGTCGGCCAGAAGGCTGCCGGAGCTGCGGCAGCCCTCGCATGCCCGTCCTCCCTCCTCAGCCCACAGGCCGCCTCCTCCGGGAGGCCTTCCCTGACTTCCCCTTCAAAACCACCTGCCCGCGGTCGCCACCGCGCCGCCCGGCTCCTCCGCAGCGCGGGTTTCGGATCTACCATTTGCGTGCCAAGCGCGCCCGGCCCGCGGGCCGAGAGCTCCGCGCGGCCCGCCGGGTCTCCCTCAGCCCCGGCCGGAAGTTGGGCGGCAGGGCCGGCCGGCCGGCGGAGGGGGCTGGACAGGCTGCCCGGCCGCCGAGCCGGGGTCGCCGGAGGGGGCGCGGGCAGGGACGCGGGCGGGACGGGCGACACTCACGTCTCGGAACTGGACCAGGCCCGCCTCGCCCAGCGCGCTGAGGCACTCGTAGGCCGAGCCCGACTGCAGGAAGAGCTGCGCCAGGCACATGCTCTCGCTCCGGAACAGGGACCCCATGCTCCCAGGCGGTCCGGGCCTCCCGTTCTTCCTGCGGTCCGGCCGCGGCCCCACACCATGGGGCTCCGCGTCCCGCCACCGCGGCCGCTTCTCCGGCGCCGCCACAGCCGCCAGCGAGGCCCCGCCCGCGGCGCAGGCGGTTCCGGTTCCGCCCCCGAGCACCGCCCACCCGCAGACTGACCAATAGGAGCCCGGAGTTGCGGCAGCCAGTCGTGGTGGCCTGGGCCAATCAGCGCAAAGTCGGCGGCCACTGACAAGAGCGGTCGGGCTTAGGCTTCTTAGGGCTCCGAAAATGAGCGCTACCGAAGTTCCCCCGTTTTAAGTATGCAGTTCTGCGGGATCAGTGGTGTTGCCGGGGGGCAGCCATCCTTACAATCCAACCTGAGAACATCCTGGGGCGCCCCCAGATCCCTGCGCTGCTGCGGGCGACCGACTCCCCACCTGCCCTCTGGGTGTGTTAGCCAGCCCTGGCCCGGGCCATCGAGGCACTGGGCCTATGTCCGCACACCACAGCCACATGATCTCCCTGACAGAACGGAGATCTGACGTGATTATGCTTAGCTAAATCTTTGGCTTTTCTCGCTACATTACACACACACACACACACACACACAAACACACCAGGGAGTGTGGCACACACACACACACCAGGGAGTGTGGCACACACACACACACCAGGGAGTGTGGCACACACACACACACACACCAGGGAGTGTGGCACACACACACACCAGGGAGTGTGGCACACACACACACACACACCAGGGAGTGTGGCTCAAGTGGGAGGCAGGACCTATTATGCTTAGCTAAATCTTTGGCTTTTCTCGCTACATTACACACACACACACACACAAACACACCAGGGAGTGTGGCACACACACACACACACACCAGGGAGTGTGGCACACACACACACACCAGGGAGTGTGGCTCAAGTGGGAGGCAGGACCTAGTTCAATCAAACGCCAGGACCACAAAAACAAACAAAACTTTAGACTGGAAGAAAGGCTTAAAACTCTGTGTCCTAGGACTTCTTCTAACAAACGACAAAGCAATAACCTATTTTATGTGTACTAGGATGTCCAGAGTCTTTAGGAGCTCAATGAAGAAACGAAAAAGGAAAGAATGCTTTTCAAAATTAAGTTTAAGGCCGGGTGCCACTGGCTCACGCCTGTAATCCTAGCTACTCGGGAGGCTGAGATCTGAGGATCCCAGTTCAAAGCCAGCCCAGGCAGGAAAGTCTGTGAGACTCTTATCTCCAATAAACCACCAGAAAACTGGAAGTGGAGCTGTGACTTAAGTGGTAGAGTGCTAGCCTTGAGCTGAAGAGCTGAGGGACAGTGCCCAGGCCCAGAGTTCAAGCCCCAGGACCAACAAAACAAAACAAAAAAAATTAAGTTTAAGGAGATGTGCAAAACTCATATGAAGCCCAGAGCCGGTGGCTCACCCCCTGTAATCCTAGGTACTCGGGAAGCTGGGATCTGACGAAGTCAGATCATGCAGAAAAGTCTGTGAGAGACTCTCACCTCCAATTAACTACTTAGAAAAACCCAGAAGTTGCTCTGTGGCTTGAGTGTAAAGCACTACCCCTTAAGCACAAAGAAGCTCAGAAACAGCACCCAGGCCCAGAATTCAAGCTCCAAGGGCTAGCAAAAAACAAAAACAAAAAAAAACTTAAACGTTAACTCTGGTGTAAGTAAAGCATGGAGACTTTAGTCATTTATGATGAGCTAAATCTCTTAGTGATTTACACATTGTTTTGAACATCAAGATAACAGAAATGAATTAAATTCACAGAACACTTGTTAAGAATTTTCTACAAAAGACATTTTGTTTATTAAGATGTCCCAGGGAGGTATGGATGACCACAGAAGCCACGACCACACAGGTCCAGGGTATCAGCAGGACTTGTAGGCAGGGGGCCACAGAGCACCAAGCCGGCACATTCTGGCCCAAGGCTTGCTGAGCAGCACTGCAAGCAGGAGGAACCAGGCCAACATTAAGCCCTTGGCCACACGCTGGGAATGCGGCTCCCCTGCAAGACAGCCAAAGACTAGTAATGATGCTCTGGATTTTTCCAAAGTTGTACAGAAATAACCCACACCATTCACTGTGACCATTTCTAAGGACCTTGGGATTAGGACATTTTTTGTTATATTTTTCTATATATTTTCAGCTTTCCTTGACATTTACACATTACTTTAGACTGTTTTTAACTGCATAAAAGACCTGGTTAACACTGCAGAAGTTTTCCCTTACCTTGATAATACTGGGTCAGTGGATACAGAAGTTGTGGCCAGCACACATCGTTTCTATTACAGTCATACTCTGTAAAATTGAGCTGGAATCTGCAAAACATTGTGCAAGATTTCAACAACTGCAAGTGAAAGCATCAGAGCTTGACTAGAGGAACAAGCTTCCTCCTTTTAAACATAGGTTTTTCCATTTCCTGTGTCAATTAGGTGGGTCACTGAATTACCTCGTCAGAGGGCGGGGCAGCTGTGCAGGTATTTGAATGAACTGCACTGCTGCACTGATGGGGAGCAGGCCTGCCCTGTCCTCGCAGGTAAGTCCACATTGGTACTGCCAGTTCACTGTGGAGAACCTAGGAGGAAAGATACAGTAACCAAGCCACCATTCATTTCTAGTCTGCTCAGGACAGGCAGCAACCATTGTATCATAGATGAGGACACAGGAGAGAGACAAATGTAATGGACCCTCACAAACCTGTCTTGCAGCTATAATGACCAGCTGTTGCAGAATACCTGGTTTTTCAAGGACACTTGTGTGTTTCACACTGTACAATAAGAACTGCAGCCAACCCTATATTGAAGGCAGGCTGCAATCTGAGCCCAGAGCTAAGGAGGCCTGTTCCCATCCCCTAAAGGCCTGAAAGCAGTGCTAGAGGCTGTACCTGGCTCAGTGACAGAGGCTGCCTCACCTGTGCTGGGCCCTGGATTCCATTCCCAGCAGCACCAAAACCAGAACAGCACTATGAAGTAGTCTGCCTCCTTAGCTCCCCTTCTTTTCTAATAACTGCACCCCTGCTTTTCCTTGGGAAACTACTACTCCCCATTCTCAGCTCTAGCCCAGGCCTGAATCTAGGGTAAATAGTCCATCCTCTGAGCCTGGACAATCAGAGCTGTCTGTTGCCCCAGCCACAGTGATTGGTTCAGCAAGGAATACATGATCCAAACTGAACCAATCAAACTCTGTCCTGATCTTTTTTGAGGAAGCAGCTTCTCATTCCACTGGATTTGGCTAAATTGCCATAATTGGGATATTGTTAGCCTTGTCTTTCCATCTCTTGAGGTGATTTACCTGACAATGGAGCCAAGCAGAGCGAAGAGGAGCCAAGAGATGACTAAGACAGAAAGCTCCTGACCACGGAGAAATCATGAGCCATGAATGCATCGTATGTGGCTTGTCCAGCCTTGAACACATTCATTTCATTTAGCAGGACCCCGTGGCTAACCAAGTCATCACCGCTGCAGTGCAGGAGACACATAGAAACTGCCCAAGCGACAGGCACTTCCACACCTGAACCTGCTGATTTGCCACCAAAGTCACTACAACTGGTGCTCTAACCACCAGCACACCAGTCACATTCGAAGAACCAAAATATACTCCATATGGAGTCACCTCTTACCCATCTTACCCAGCGCTGCCCGAGCGCTGGTGGGCCGGAATGGGTTTCCAGTATTAACATAGCTGAGCTGGGAGCATGTAGTTCACACTTGTAATCCTAGCTACTCAGGAGGCTGAAATTTGAGGACTGCAGTTCAAAGCCAGCCTGGGCAGGAAAGTCCATGAGACTCTTATCTCCAATGAACCACCAAAAAACCAGAAGTGGTGCTGTGGCTCAAGTAGTAGAGCACTAGCCCTGAGCAGAAAAACTCAGGGATAGCGCCCAGGTCCTGAGTTCAAGCCCTAAGACCAACAAAAAAAATGAAACTAAAAAATGAAATAAATAAGTGTATAAATAAATGCAGCTGTCACTAACTCTTATCACTACAGGCCGCAACCTGGCTGAGTGTGCCCTGTTCCCGACTCCCCTCACGGAGATGGGGAGCACACCTGGTCTCAACGCCCACTACCTCCTGCTGAACCAGCCCTTGCACAGCACCCGCATCGGCCACCAGGACCCGGATGGAGAGCTGGGTGGGAACATCCAGGCATGCGCCGCTCGTGCTGTTTACAGGTGCGACAGGGGCATCCATCCCTAGGAAATATAAGTTGTGCTTTCTTGAAAGAATGTTTAATACTAGCTTTCTTACACTGTCAGGCATAACACAAGGCTTTGAGTTTAAGTCCCAGTGCTGGCACACACACACAGGACAATAATATTCGATAGCAGTTGCACACATGAGGCTCTCGTCTATAATGGGCTCTGTCACTCCATAACTCTGCCCCCCTTGGCAGTGTAGAGGTACTAATTAGCCAACTTGTGTTTACACAGCGTTCCCTTGCTGTGTACGCAGCAGCCACTCCCCACTTCCGGATAGCCACCCCATGAGACAGAAATGTCTCATGTGCTGCTGAGGCTGGAGCCCCATGGCGTGCAGTCACATCCATCCGGCATCTTTCACTTCCAGGGCGTTCTCAATCACGTCATTTCCTAACACCTTCTCAAGTGCCCATGTCCTGCCATCCCAAAGCTGCGGTGTAAACAGAGGAGCACTGCAAACCCTAAGCCTAAGTCTTCTGGGTTCTGTTAGCATGGCTGGCTCATCAAACAACTGCCCCACTGCAGTGTCATTTCCTCCTAAAAACCTAAAGACATGAGGAAGAGGGGGGACGGACATGAAGCCCTTCTGCCTGGAGAGGTGACCCCTACGCAAATGGGCATGAAGCCAAAAAGACAAAAGACCTCCACATCCAGTCCCACAGCCCCACGGCAGGCAACGGGCATGGGACAAATCAGGTGCTTCACACTTACGCATGATGTCCAGCCAGCCGTCGCTCAGGTCGCTGTAATCAGAGTTCCCTCTCACAGCGACGTGAGTTGCTTGTATTAGTGACTCAAGTCTTTCAACAACATCCTCCCTGAAAGAAAGGAAGGCATTTTTAAGCCACGGTCAGCACACTCTGTCCAGAAACCTTTTCTGCTAGGCCTTGGCCCCGAGCCCCACATCACGTGAGCAGCCTCCCAGGCTGGCCCTACGCTGCCTGCCTGCGTTGTGTACCTGACACAGCACAGAAACCTTTGATTTTAGGCTCAAGTGCTGGCAACTTCCATGGGTGCTGTGTGCTTCCCAGACTCCTCTACATATCACAAAACTTGGGAGTGAGGAGGTCAGGTCACTTACCAAGTCATCAAGGTTAAGTTCATGAGCTGGAGTGACCCAATAGCAAAAGGAATGCAAATATCTAGCCAGAACTTGGAACTACAAAATTGAGTGCAGATTAAGACTTGGCACTGAGCACTTCCGAAAGGAAGCTACAATAAGGACAGGTAGCTTAGCAACAAGGAGTGCATTAGGCCTGAAGATGGGTAACTTTTACAGTTATCTCTCTCCCCCTTAAACTATAGCCTATGGTGGAAGAACAATTCCTCTGACCTTGCCCCATATGAGTAATGATCCCTGGGAACTCAGCCCATTAGAGCACCGGTGGCTCACGCCTGTCATCCTAGCTACTCAGGATGTTGAGATCTGAGGATCACAGTTCAAAGCCAGCCTAAACAGGAAAGAAAGTCTGTGAGACTTTTTGTTGTTGTTGTTGGTCGTGGAGCTTGAACTCTGGGTTTGGGCGATGTCCCTCAGCTCTTCAGCTCAAGGCTAGCACTCTACCACTTGAGCCACAACGCCACTTCCAATGTTCTGGTGGTTTATTGTTTTTTTTTTTTTCCTTGGGTCCGGTTGTAGGGCCTGAACTCTGGGCCCTGGACGCTGTCCCTCAGCTCTTCAGCTCAAGGCTAGCACTCTACCACTTGAGCCACAGCACCACTTCCGGCTTTTTTCTTTTTGCTTATGTGG